GGAATTCTTTGTAAATGTAGTCCTAAATAAACTATTTAAAAATTGGTAATCGGTTTAGAAAAACAATAGGAAATTGTTCTGCACACATCAATTGCAAACAAGTGTTTTACAACAGGGAAGCTGCCATAGTTTTAGTGGTTTCAGAAGCCAAGGCTGGATGTGCCAAGTTATTGGCCATTTAGGAAATTTTGCACTGGGGGAGCTCAATCCCTCCTAACCCCACCAGCCACCATCCTTGGCCCACCTTTCCTCAGCCCATGCCTCTCAGCCCAGTACCATATGGTTGAGTTTCTCATTTGGACAGTTGAGACAATAGAGGTACTTGAAGAATATAATATGATTCATCTCTGGGCAAAAAAAATATGTATTTCCTTATTGATTGATTTTAGGCCTGAGGCCAATACAACCTCCTCATTTGGCACCATTGCCTCAGCATCACTTCTGAACTGTCCTTTCAGTGTCAGCTCACAATCTACTTTGCACAGGAAACCATTTTTAAGTTGATAGAAAGAGGTGAAACCCGATATTTCAATTCAGCTACTAGCAGGGACAACTGCATTTTGAGTAATCACCAACTTTTTGTGTTTGTTTTAGGATCTCAGTTCTGTCATTTACTAAGTCTGTGTGACCTTGAAAGAAATGGGAAGAATGAAACCTACCCTGCAGGGTGGTGCAGATTGAGTCAGATAACAAGTGAAAATGCCAAGCATAGCCTGAGCAGGCACTCAATAAATGCAGACTTCTTGTCAATCCTTGCTATGTTTACTGAATTATTGAGTCTGTAAGTGTCTTGAAAGTAAAAGCACTCTTTCTGCATGTTCCTTGCAGCACACTCACAAATTCAGTGCCATATATCCTCAAGAGACACTGTAGAATGTTTAGGAGGGGAGCAGGTCAAGGATAAAGTTGGAAAAAATTATGTAATATATATGCAGATGAGAAGAAATTGTTCTGGGGAGATGTAAAAAATGAATTTGATTCAGAGGTGATGGCAAAGGTCTTTCCCTGCATTTCCTTTTCCCATCCATTTAAAATTTTTTCTTGCCAAAAGGAAAGGACAGAAGGTCTCATCTTGATGAATGTGGAGCTGCAAAACTCTGTGCCAATACACCTGGTATTGATTCATGCCAGCTGGGATAGGAGCTTGGTTCTCAGTGTTTTACTACTGTGGTTTCCTGGGCTGGGCAGCTGGGTGCCTAATAATGATAAAAACCATAATAATACTTCATAATTATGTACTGCCCTCTGCCAGAACTTGGATTTAATTACAAAGACTATGACGGAACTGGCAACAGCTTGTTCCCTGTTGGGGCGCAATACCCAAGGGCCTGGAAATACAAAGTAGAGACTGCAACCTTCCCCTGCAGGGCCTATCCTGGCAACCCACCCAGAGTTCTTTGGGTTTGAAGTTCATCAGTTGAAACAAAGAGTACTTTTAAATTGCCCACATGTACTTGGCACTGCCAAGTCAAGCAGTATTTATGAAGCAACTACTGCCACACGAGGCACAACATCATGGAATCCCCAGCCTAGAAGACACCAAAGCAGATGATATCATATCATTCATAATCCTGTCCCCTACCTATAAGCCTCACTGCCACTACTTCCTATTCTGATTTAGGCTGGAGATTCCTTTGTGGTAGCTTCATTCAAGTGTCAAGGGATTACCAATTCACTCAACACTCACTTGTGAGCCCCTATTCTTAGCCAAGGCATTGTATTGGCACAGAGGTATATAACACATTGTTCCTACTGGGCATGGTAACTCTTATCTTTAATCACAGCAGTCAAGAAAAAGAAGCAGGATAACCATCATGAGTTTCAGGCCAGCCTCGGCTACAGAGTAAAAAAAAGATCCTCATCTCTAAAAACCAAAACCACCACCACCAAAAGATCCAAAACCAAACAAAAAAACCCAAGTGCCCCACATGAGCCCTGACATCAAGCATTAATAGTTTATCTACTTGAAGGATGTTCATCTAGGCAGCAATAACACAGACACATTAAGAAAGGACAATTCCTCAGTAGACCAAAGAAAATGGAACCAAGGTGAGGTGAAAAGATGAAAACAATTCCCTCTGGAGATAAGATGAGCGGAAAGACCAGCTGGGCAACAGCAGTGAAGAGGGCTCAACAACTCCAGGAGGCTCAGATTGGTCTTCCCAGTTTTTAGTCTTTGTAATGTGTAGTCACCTCTTATTATCTTGCCTAGTTATTCATTTACTTACATACTGTTTGTCTTGCCCCATTCAGCAACCTTGTCAGTTTTTTTCACCATGAAATCTTGAGCTAATACTAAAGTGCTCTGTAAATACTGACCTAATGACTAAATGACACAAACGAGAAAGGGTCCGTGGTAATGGAAAAGAGAGGACATTTAGTGAATATAATCAACAAAGACAAGAAATAGGATATTAGCTTTTCATCACCACCACAAATCCCTGAGCTAATTAACTTATGAAGAGAACAGGCTTATTCTGGTTCAGTTTTGGAGGTTCCAGTCCTGATCTGGTGGGCCTCTCATGGGGTGAAGAGCACATCAGGGCATGTTTTAGTTTGCTTTCTGTTGCTGTGATAAATATCAGGAGCAAAAGCAACTTGGATAGGCAAGTGTCTATTCATCTTATAGGCCACAGTCTATTATTGAGGGAAGTCACGGCAAGAGCTCAAGTGAGAACTGAAGCAGAAATCTGTGAGGAATGGGCTCACTTTCAGTTATCTTTCTTCTACAGCACAGGTCCCCGTGGGCCCTGCGTATTAATTAGTGATTAAGAAAATACCTCAGGGACATGCCCACTGGCCAATCTGATGCAGGCAATCCCCCACTTGAGACTCCTTGAGATAACTGAGCTGTGTCAAGTTGACAGCTCAAGCCAAGAGAGGGCAGGAACACATAGTAGAGCAACACTGTTCACATCATGGACAGAAAGGGAATCAAGGAGAAGGGGTCCTGCAATCCATTTTGAGGACACACCTCCAATAACCTAAAGCTCTCCACCAGCCTGTCACCTTCATGCCAGGGAAGCAAGAGTAACACATGGGCCTGTGGAGAACAACATCCTGGATCTCAGCTCCAAACTATAGCAGATAGAGATTCTGGAGCAGTGAGAAAGTGGATGGAGGAGTATACTCAGATTTCATTCAGGAGTTTTGGGAAGAGTTGCTAGCATATAAAATAAGGGAAAGATAAGGAGGTTTTGTGAACTTGAGAAGGTATGAGTTCCAATCTGGGCATATTATTCTTCTAGGCAAGTGAAGTGTTCAAAAGGTGCTTTTATTTGCAGAAGTGGGCCCCCATTCAGCTGTTAAATGGTTAGATGGTCAGCCAGCTAAATGGTTAGATCAACTAGTGTGCATTAGGACAATGTGCCTTCCAAATTAGAGGAGTGCAGTCAGATCTTGGAACTCTCTCAAGAAGTCAGGCTGAGAAAAATCAACTGAAGAGGACAATCTGAGGATGTGTATTAAGTGGGATGAGAACTGTAAAGTGTCTGAGAGGAAAAGCCTTTAAGAAGAATGTACTCCAGTTTCCACTGCTAGACTTTAAAAAAACTAGAAAGTGGCTAGTCATACCTGTAACCCCTGCACTGGGGAGGCTGAGGATAAGAGTGTCATTGAATTAGAGGCCAGCCTGGGCTACAGAGACCATGTTTCAAGCAAAAAAAGGACTAAAAAGTGACCCCTGAACTTGGACATGGATCTCACGATAGCTTTACAAGGAGCACTTCCAGAGGATTATCAAGAATATACTATTTGAATCATGAATTGACGGTAAGGGGGAGAGCTGGACAGTCTTAGTTTGTGAGTTGTAATGCAAACAGTAAGTGGTTAGGGAGTGAACAGTAACGAAGCTTCTAAAAGGCCAAACAGGGGGTCTTGCAGGCGTCACAATCCTTCAGCTAGACCTCTTACCTTTTCGGCCATCTAGAGGGCGGGGGCGGTACACGTTAAGTGCAGGCAAAAGAGGGAGGCTCCAGTAGCCCTTCCCGACGTGAGTCATCTTCTGAGAGCGGGGATGAGAATAGTTAATTCAATGAGGTGCCTCGGAATTCAGTGACTTGGATGGTTTGGTGCTGGAGGGAGCCGGGGAGACTCATTCACATTTTCCTACCGGGCGCTTACATCCACCATTCAGCACTTTCTTTGCCGTCTCCCTGACAGAGCTGAAAAGAACAAAGCTTTGCCCAACTCGCACCTCAAGCTGACCGTCCACCCTCGCGCCCACCGGCAGTCCTCACCGCGGCCACGTGACCCTCTCCGGCCCCCGTGACTCGCGGCCCTCGCCCCCTCCCCTCCAGCCGTAGCCAGCTTTTGCCCCGCCCCTCACGCTCATGTGACAGCCTGTCTCCCACCTGACTGGCTCCTCCCTTTTCGGCAAGACCCAGGCCACTGTCGCAGCTGCCCGACTCCAAAATGGCACCCGCGCAGTGCGCGCACCCCAGCGGCCGGACCTCCTTGACTCCCGGGCCTCCCCTCTCTCGCTCCGGGCCTCCCTCCCCGGGCCTTCATCTGCACGTCTCCGGATTGGCCACCTGGAATCCCGCCCCTCCAGAGCTCCACCTGTTATTGGTCACGGTAGGCTGCCCTTCAGAGAGGCGTGCCTCCGCCCGCCCCCCATCCCGGGAGGTATTTTCCATTCCAGTGGGGGCTGGGGGGCGGGGGGAGGGGACCGGGTGACGAGGGGGAGGCGGCCGGGAAGCGGTGGGGGCTGAGGGGGCATCCGGCCGAGCTGGGGTCCCCGGGCTCTGTCCGGAGG